GACTCGCCGAGCCCGGAAGGGCCCGGGAGGTCCCGTGACCGGACGCAGCCTTGGCGTCCGGCCCGCCTCTGCCGAAGCAGCCTAGGTACTTTTAACAGATACCAAAGGATTATGGGCCAAGAGAGAGCTTGTGGAAGACCACAGAATTTCTGCTGGTCTTGAGTCCCCATTTGTTGGTGGTCTTACCTTGAAACCTCTGGCAGTGATCAGCTGTTTTGCTTCCAGAGGAGGATGCAGAAAGTTTGGGTTAACTGAGGTTAAGATTTAGTCAGATAAGTATGTAGAGGGGGGTGAGTGCAAGGAGTTGTGGGTACTTGCAATGGAGTGATTATCATACAACAAATCTAAGCTAGATAAGAAGAGAAGTAGGCACAAGAATGAAAAAGAAAAAAAAAATAGTAGGATTAATGAACTGAAGTTCTTTTAAAAATTGTGGTATTTTTGCAGAGAGTTACTAGAGTAATTGAGAGAGAAAGTCAGGAAGTGGCGGTCAAAAAATAGAGTGTTTGAATCAAGGTTACAAGGAATATTCATAAAGCTGGTGATGGCATTATTTAAGGCATTGAAAATGGGTGTCTTGGAACCAGCAGATGGCATAAATGTTTACGTCACCAGACTCCCATATAGTCAAAACCGTGGTTCAAGTCCCAGACCCAGCAGCTTAAAACACACAGGGCGCAAATGTGTGTGTGCCCAAAATCCCAAGAGGAGACTGGAGAAGGGATTGCAGAGTGGTCATCCTCCCGGGGGTGGGGGGGAGGTGGTTTCTCGTGTTCTGTCTTACTGTCTCTTTGGCAAGTGCATGCACCCTATAGCAAAAATCTCTCTAAAAAAAAGAAAGAAAATGGGTGACTGGGTGACTCAAGTTCTAGAAAGGAAAAGATCACTGGTGATAGGATAGAAAAATGAGCTATTTCTTTAGAATAAATTAGAATCAACTCCTCTAAAAATTTTGATATATTTTACAAATTGTTCTCTGGATATCTTGTAGCAATTTATATTCCCACCTAAATGATGTGGCAATATGGATGTCAGCATTTACCCTGTTGACTTTTGCTCTTAGAGCCTTGGGAAATGAAAGATAACTTTTTATTATAAAGGGTTGGGGATTTCTGAATACAAAGTAAATGTTCGAGTGTTTGTTTTCACTAAATTGGGAAAGTATTCTCTCACCTTTTTGGTGGGACTGTAAATTAGCACCACCTCTATGGAATACAATAGAATAGTACTTATTCAATAATAATTTTTTTTTTTAAGTGCAGATATGCTTTGGCCCAGTATCTTCACTTATAAGAATTTATCATACAGGTAGAACGTATACAGGTGCAAAGATAGAGTGCCAAAAAATAACCTAAATGTCCCATCAGTAGGTCAGATCAGTTATGGTATGTCCATAAAATGGAATACTAAAAATGACTGAAAAGAGTGAGGCATGTGTCCTTGATGTTTTATTAAATAAAGAAGGCACAGCTCTCATCACTTCCTGGGCATTCTGTTACCTGTATATGTACATGTCTGGAAGGCAGCGTCAGAAACTGTACAGCTGCCTGGGAGGAGTGAACTAGTGCCTGGGGATATGGGTGGACTGTATATTTGTATCTTCTGAGTTTTTCTGTGTTTTTAATACTAAAATTTTGTTTTTGTAACATTTTATTAGCTGGAAAAATTATAGATGGCAACATTAATATTTTTTAATATTTTATGCTGTTGATTTTATAGCTTTTGAAGATGACTTTAGTCTGTTGAATACGAGTAAGTAATTAGCACCTTAGAATGGAACCAAAGTGGGGGCCAGACAGTGGTACTGTGGTAAAACAGGATACTCTGCAAGGCTGATTGATGTGGCAGAGTTTCAGATTCACATCTGGAGACCTTCCTGAGTACATCTGGGTTGCATGTGCCCATGATCAGTGACTAGCTGAGGCTGGAGATGGAGCATGTCATCGAGAACTTGTTTTGAGGGTGTGCGCTCTTTTCTTTGTCTCTTTTACCATTGGAAGAAATACACTTTAAAAAAAAAAAGAATGGAATGGAATGGAAGTAAAAATTTAACTACCTAACATGACCTTGTCATTTCAGTGCATTCAAACCATGTGGGTTTTGTTTTGTTTTATCATTAGGTATCATGACACTGTCCCCTTTTGATCAAATGAAGACTGCCTCCAACATAGGTGGATTTAATGCGGCAATTAAGAACAGTCCACCTGCCATGTCTCAATACATCACCGTAGGGTCCAATCCATTTACCGGCTTCTTTTACGCCTTAGAGGTATGAGTTTCATCACTAATCATGAGTAAGGCCGTTCTTGATTTTTTAACTCATGTACAGATTGGATCTAGTAATTTAGTTTTAGAAAGATTAAGTAGTTCATATATTTAACTTTTATTTGGAACTCATCTTAATCTCAACTAGCTTTCTTCTGAATTCTTTGGATGATCTGAAAAGGTACTAAAGTTCATGTAAAACAAACATCTTTGTTTCTGAAACTCTGAGTTCTTTGTCAGCTGAATTGCCTTTAAATACTAGTGCACTAGTCAGAAGCTCAGGGTTGCTAATAATGTCCACTCACCAGGGATTTGAGAAAATGAGGAATCGTAAAGGCAGATCAAACTGCCAACCACAGTTGCTACAAGTGGTGAAAATTACTTCCTAAATAGGGAAAAGTTAGGTGTTAGATTTGGCAGCTTTATTGTTCACTTAAAAACCAGCCTTCTCAGGATTGTCCAAACTGTCTTTTTTACTTTTGTTAAGCAAGCAAGCAAACAAAAGAAAGATTGAAAAATAGATAGTTAAAGGGACAAGAACCAGCTGTATGTAGATAGAAATACATAGCCCCGCTAGAGTAATGTCATCTTGCTGTCCTTGCTTAAATTTTATTTTAATTAAATGACCCTTTCAAGAGATAAATCCTAAAGATTTAAAAAAAAATCCTATGGATTAAACCTTTTTATTATAAAATAAAGTTTTACTGTACGCTTTGAAAGAAGCTGAGTTGCCAGTCAAGGCTTTGTAAGTTTTTATTGGATTGCTCCCAAAATAAACTTGTTTTTGTCCCTTCTAAAAGAAACTGAGTTGTACATCCAGGATCTACAACTTTTCAGAATTTTTAGAAATAATTCTTATTTAGAAAGTATGTCTTCTCTGTAAGCTACCAAGTTTTCTTTTTCAAATGTTCTGTTTTTCAGGGAAGCTCACAACCGTTATTATCTCACGTTGCACTAGCAGTTGCAAGTAAACTCACTTCTGCTTTATTTAATGCTGCCAGGTAATTACATAACAAATAAAAATTACCTAGTTTGTATCTAGCTTGGTTTTAATTTAATGATAGTCTGCTTTTTTAAAACCCTGGAACTTCTAGATGGACTCAAAATTTTCTTTCTCCTCAGTGGTTGGCTTGGTTGGAAAAGTAAGCACGAAGAAGAAACCGTCCAAAAGCACAAGCCGAAGGTTGAGCCAGCTACCCCATTAGCTGTAAGGCAAGTCTGTTGTGCTTTTCTCAAATTTTAGTATTTTTAGAAAGATGCTGTTAAATTTACAGAGTGCTTGGTTGACTTGTCAGTCTCATGAGTCCTTGGAGCTTCAGTAAGTTGTTAATGTGAGACATTTTCCCTCCACTGGAATGTGAGCTCTGTGAAAAGCTTGATTTTTTTCCTGTTCTGTTCACAGCTGTCTCCCTATCATATTGTAGGTGCTTAAGACATATTTCTTGAGTATGTTTTTTAACAAACATCTGTAAAGCTAGCATAAGTTGTAAAAGCATTAGTTGAGTGAAAGTTGTTGGAGTTCTTTCTTTAATAAGTTTAAATAATATTTCACTAAGGTATATAACCTAAGAAGTACCCAATGCTTCTTAAAAAAATTAAGCAGAAGCCTTGTATATTCAGATACTTTTCAGAATACTGGCTTCTGCTTCCTGCTTTCCTTCAGGAGTGTTTTAGGATATGTTACTTTATCTGGTACATTTTGGAAGAGGAAGACATGATTTTCTTGGTTTTGCTTTTACATAATTTTTTCCCCCCAGATTTTTGCTATAGGGCACATGTACTTGCAAGAGAAAGGGAGAGGGAAAGTGAGAAATCACCCCCTGGGGGGATGACCACACCGCAATCCCTTCTCTTCGCAGGATTTTGGGCATGTGTGCATATGCCCCCAGGGTGATTTTCAAGCCTCTGGATCTGGGACTCAAACTACAATCAGTCATGTGGGAATCCATGCCTTGACTGTCATGCAACCTGCTAGCTCCTAAATAAATTTTTATTACCAATATAAAATGCTTCCATGAGGGAAAATAGGACCCCCCTCACCTCTTTTAGATGTCCTTTACTTGAAGAGAGCCAACTAATTAACAGTTATGAAAATTTATGGGCCAGCCTGTGGTGTAGGGGTTAAGGTAGCTGGATCTCACATGACCAACTGCACAGTTTGAATCCCAAATCCAGTGGCTTGAGAAACATGCCAGGTGCATCTACATAATTTTCTTCTCTCTCTCTCTGGCAAGTACATGTGCCCTCTGGCAAAAATTTTAAAGAATTATTGAATTTATCTTCTTTTTTAAAAAGTTATTTGTTATTATTATTATTTCATTTGACCAGAGCGAGAAAGAGGGAGAGACAGAGATAGGGGGAAAGTGAGAAAGCAAAGCCTCCAGGTCTAGGATTTGAACCATGATTGGCCATGTGGGAATTCAGTGCCTTAACCACCACACCACCTGCCAGCCCCTGAATTTATAAGATTCTTTTCCATTTTATTTAAAAATAAGTATGTTTAACTTTTCCCACATTTCCTAAATTCACCCAAGAATCAAGAAATTAGTCAAATGGGGACCAGCAGTTAGCATAATGGCTATGTTGCTGGACTCCCACGTAGTCGACTGCGGTTTGTGTCCTGGACCCGGTGGCTTAAAACTCACGCTGGGCGCATGTGCGTGCATGCCCAAGATCCCGAGAGGAGAATGGAGGAGAAGGGATTTCCGTGTGACCATCCCCCCTGGGGGGTGATTTCTTGCTTTCTGTCTCTATGTCTCTCTCTGTCTGTCAGGCGAGCGCACGCGACCTATAGAGCGAACCCCCCCCCCCAAAAAAAAAAAAAGAAATTAGTCAAATGGTCTTATGTATCTCAAATAGATGTAACAAAATTTAAATGTTTTGTCTTGGAAACTTTTCTCAAAGTGAGCCCCTCTGGTCCTTTTTTCAGTACCTCTTCACTTTTTATTTTATTTATAGTTCTAATCAGGTTGAATATAGACCAGTAGCAGTTTTGAGATAACTGTTTAGAAGAAGGAAAGCTATTGTGCAGGCAGATACGTAGGTGTCAACAAGATACGATAACTGGCAAAAAGGAGACCAGTCTAGGAACAGTTCTTATCGTAGACTAATGATGCTTGTGTAGGAGCAAAGCATTCTAAATTTTAGTTGGTTGCGACAGTATTGTTTTCTATGGAGTGTCTTTCAGTCAAGGAAAGAGAAATTTATATTTGCTATTCTCTAAAAATAAGGACCAGCAGATGGCATAACGTTATGTCACTGGACTTCCCTGTAGTCAACTGCAGTTCAAGTCCTGGACATTGCGATTTGAAACTCAATGCCAGGTGCATGTGAGTGTGTGCCCAAAGAGAAGAATGGAGGAGTAGGGATTGCAGCATGGCCATCCCCACTGGAGGGTGATTTCTTGCTTTCTGCCTCTCTGTCTCTGTCTCTCTGGCAAAGCACACGTACCCTCTAGCAAAAATCTCTCTTAAAAAAAATGTGTGACTGGGACCAGCAGTTAGCATAACATCTATGTCGCTGGACTCCCATGTAGTCGATCATGGTTCTAGTCCTGGACCCGGTGGCTTAAAACTCAAGCTGGGCACGTGTGCGTGCGTGCCCAAGATCCCAAGAGGAGAATGGAGGAGAAGAGATTGCAGCATGGCCATCCCCACTGGAGGGTGATTTCTTGCTTTCTGCCTCTCTGTCTCTGTCTCTCTGGCAAAGCACACGTACCCTCTAGCAAAAATCTCTCTTAAAAAAAATGTATGATTGTGGATATCTATAGAGAAAACCTACATAGACTGTGTTTTATTTCTTTGATGTGTTTTATATTGCAAAATGTTGGGTCTGAAATTCAAAGTTTAAATGTATGTAAAAAACAGATTCAGCCTATCTTATTTATGCATTTCATTGTTCTATGTTTCTAGATTGGAATGTGATTTGAGTTTTTTATTTTCTTTTAAATATCAGATTTGGGCTTCCAGATTCTAGGCGCCACGGTGAAAGCATATGTCTGTCTCCATGTAACACACTTGCAGCGGTAACAGATGATTTTGGCAGAGTTATTTTGTTGGATGTAACTAGAGGAATCGCAATACGCATGTGGAAAGGTACTACCTTACAAATATCCCAAAAAAAGTTAATATACTTTTTTACCCCAGTAAGTTGAGCAACTTTATTATCCTTCAGCTTCTGGTTGATAACTGTTTAATTTTTTATATTTTCTTTTTAAAATATGAACTCAAATCAGCAGCATTTGACCTAGTAATCAGCCACTGTATCCTCCAAGTATGACCACCTGATAGGCACTTTTCTGCAGGTCTGCCTTAAGCACTTTCTTTGAATTCTCATTGTCATTGTCGGTTTCTGAATTCAGTTTCTCCTTCCTGCTACATTTATTCCTCTTCACTAGGCCACTTTGGAGCCAGATAGTCTCCTAAAATCTAGAATGCCAAGTCTTTCAAATTTAAAATAGCAAAACCTAGCAAAATCCATCTTTACAGACTTGACATCCATATCTTTATGCTTAAGTTAGTCTACTTAGTGTATAGGTAACTGTATCAGGAGTTTGAGTCAACTGCTAGTGACAAACCCAAGTGTAGGACTGATGTGATTTCACCACCATGTCCTCAGGAACCCAGTCTCCTTTTCTGTATCTTCTCCGCTGAAGATTCTCACAGCCAACCTTATCAGCATTCTAGGAAGGAAAGAGGAAAAGGAAAAAGAGAAGGTTACACCTGCCAACCGAGTCAGTCCACTTTGAAATATTTACTTTATTCACAATGTATTCATCAGGACTTACTGGCTTGATTCCACTTAACTATAAAAGAGACTTGAAAATATCTTTTATCTTTTTTTTTTTTGTCAGAGGGTATGTTTGTTTACTGAAAAAAAAAAAAAAGACAGAGAGAGACAGTAAAAGTAAGAAAGCATCCCACCCCCAACCCCATAGGCAGTGATCATGCACTGTCCTTTCTCCTCCTGTTCTCCCTCCTTTGGGATTTTGGGCATGCACACACATGCACACAAGGCATATGTGTATGTTTGTTTTTATTTTTTAAATAATTATTTTATTCGTTATTATCTTTTAAAATTATTTTATTTAACTTTATTTATTATCATTATTATTATTATTATTTTCTAGTTTGATCAGAGAGAGACAGAGAGCAGGGAGAGGGAGTGAGAAGGCAAGCCACCAGGTCCAGGAGTTGAACTGCGGTTGGCCATGTGGTCATCCAGTGATTTTAAACCACAATGCCACTTAGCAGTCCCTATTATTATCTTTTCTTTTTCTTCTTAAACATGCTACAGTCATCAGAAAGAGAGAGAGAGAGGGAAAAATGAAAAAGCAGGCTACCAGGTATGGGACTTGAACTGCAGTTGGCCATGTGGGAGTCCAGTGCCCCAACCACCATGCCACCTGCTAGTCCCCCCCTCAGTGTGATTTTTAAGCCATGGTATCCAGGACTCAAATTACACAATCAGCCATGTGGAATCCAGCCAGCTGCTTTAACCACTTTGGCACTGACTGGCCTGAAAAATCTCTTAACTGGGCACATTATCAACCCACATAAAATAAAATCTCCCTGACTAAGGAAGAAGAGGAGAATGTATTGTTTAAAATCATTGGCATGGTAACATGTTTGAAATATGTTAGCTTAGACAGCTGGTTGGAAATGAATATGGTGCAGTCTTTTCTGTAGTTTACAATGTGAGGATTAATGGATTTGAGGACAATAAATGACTCTAGACCAGACTGAGGCCACTCTCACCTTCCTTTCAAAGAACTCCCTCATGATAGAGTCTTTACCTGCCATCTGTTTTGTCTGCAGAGATAAGTTTCAGTGCTATAGATACGTCCTTTCTCCATGGCATTTGTCTTCTGAAATAATAAGAGAAGTAGTGTTCTCAGTGAGTGCGTCCAAAGTACAGAAGATTCTGCTGTACCAGTTGGCCCAAATCCACCGTGACCATCTTGTCACCAGAGTTGCTGCCTGTCTTTGCAGCTGCTGTGATCAGTTTCCTGTCTATTGAGTGCTGGGAAGAGAGGGGTCCATTGCGTGTGGGAGTGCTGCCCTAGAGTGGAAGACAGCACCCGCTGCTGCCTTCTCCATCACTGCTGCCCGTGGTTTCCTCTGTCTTCATACCACCGAGGGCTCAGTAGCACATCAGGCTCTTTATTCTGTATTTCGATTGGACTTTCATTTTAAATTCAAACCTGACAATCTCCCCAGAATTTTTTTAAAAGAAGGGAGTATTTTAAAGAAAGCGAAGGTAATAGAAGCCAGGACAGGCACTCAGGAATTCAGTGATATCTGTAATATTTTCTTTTTAAAGGAAAAAAAAGATGTGAAAATAGTGAAATATCAAGATTTGATAAGACTTGGTGATGAATTGGTTATTTGTTATCCTTTTCTGTTTAAGATATTTTGTGATTAAAAGATAACATTTCTATAGCTTTTCTAATGCCTCCCTCCTTTCAGTATCCTGGAGTGCTTCGGCTACTTCGGAACCTAGATTAATTAACTCATCTTTTCCTTTGTCTCCCAGGGTACCGAGATGCACAGATTGGATGGATTCAAATTGTAGAGGATCTTCATGAAAGAGTACCTGAAAAGGGGGACTTTTCCCCTTTTGGAAATACCCAGGGTCCAAGTCGAGTAGCTCAGTTTCTTGTAATCTATGCACCAAGAAGGGGAATTTTAGAAGTGTGGAGCACACAGCAGGGACCTAGAGTGGGAGCTTTCAACGTGGGAAAGCACTGCAGGTAAGCTGCAAACCCTGGCATTTTACTGGTTATAAAAGGAAATACAGCAGTGCTTTCATTGAAGCACAGCTTTTTATTAAAACTACTTATTAGATTGCTTGCTGTTCCAGAACTGTAATGTTCATTATTTTGTTTTATCCTGTGAGTGCCTTGTATATAATTAAGTATTAAATAACAAGCAAATGTTATTTAAAAATGCCAGGCTAGTCTACAGGATTGAAGTTAGCTTGGTGCTGCCATTTGTCCATTACTTATGCTTCAAGAGCTCTAAAGTAAAGATTCCTTCACATTCTCCCATTGATGATGTTAAGTGAAGTGAATGCTTTGTTTGGAATTAAAATGTAAACACAATTTATGTTTGTTTAATTCTCTTGAACCTTTTATCAAGGTACACTCAACTACCTTGCGTAGTCAGTCAACTACTGCTTTACTTGTTCTTTTGTTAATAGAATTTGCCTTATTAACGCTCCCAAATTGATAATAATGTAGCATTCTTAGCTACCCTAAAAACTTTTTGGCATTTTTCTTTTTTATAATATGTTTACCATATCGGTATGTGATTTCTTTAGACTACTGTATCCTGGTTATAAAATCATGGGCTTAAATAATGTAACCAGTCAGAGTTGGCAGCCACAGACTTACCAGATTTGTCTTGTTGATCCAGTGTCTGCAAGTGTGAAAACAGTGAATGTCCCTTTCCATTTAGCACTGAGGTAAGATTTATTGAGTGTCTACTGACTGATGTTCCTCTCCTAATTTTTTCTACTCCCTTAGTTTTTCGTGCTTTGTTTTATAATTATTGTTTCACTGTTGGTTCTTTCATCATTAGCTTGATAATCTTTTGTGTGCGTGTGTTTGTTATAGGGTGCATGCACTCACTGGAGAATGAGATAGAAAGAGGCGGGGGGGGGGATGAGAATTCCCTCCCCACCCCAGGAGGGATGGCCATGCTGCATTCCCTTCTCCTCCATTCTTGGGATCTTGTATACACATGTGTATGTACCTGGCTTGATTTTCATGCCATCAAGTTTGGGACTCAAACTATTGGGTTGATCATGTGGGATCCAGAGATTTAACCTCTACACCACCTGGTGGCCCCAAGATTGATATCTATAAAGATATATCCATAAAATGGAGAAGAAAGTTAAAGTGTTTCAGAATCAGAAGGAAAACATCTTACATTCTGTAAGAATTTGTTATATTTATTGTTTTAGTGATAAGAAGAGTGAACGAGCCAAGGACATGCACTTAGTGAAGAAACTAGCAGCCCTACTGAAAACAAAATCTCCCAATCTTGGTTGGTATCCTTTAATAAAAATAATAAAGTGTACTGTTTTGTCATTTTTTTAAATGAATGGAATATTCTGAGTGGAGCATTCAAAATACTAAAACACATCAATGAGTTATCTCAACTTCTTTTCAGAATAAAGTTAGATACAAGTAATCGCCTGTACTTTTTGTTGGAATTTTTCTGTAAGGATGACATGTATCTTCTAGGTGATATTAAAACTTATTACAATACTGTGAGAGAACCCAAATGTCCTTTAGACTGACTGATAGTAAAAATATATTTATT